TAACTTTTAAATTTTTTTGCATTAGTTGTAATTTTAGTTTTGTTTAGGAAGTTATTTGTAGTTTTTATATCGTTTTACTGTTGTTTGTAGTTTTATATGTTAGCTTACAAATAGGAATAATTTAAGTAATACATAATGGCCTCGAGGATTAATTTTGATCAATACAAAATTATAGATAAGGGCATTATGGAAAAATCAAAATATTATGGTTTTTTTCATAAATCCTAAAACTTACTAGGGGTTTCTATGATAGTTGTAAATATTTTAGGGGTTTAGTGCTAAAAATATATTGATTCCTGTAGCCGGAATCGGAAGTTTGTGTTGTTATGCATAAAGGATGTTCGAAGTCTTTCAATGAGAAATAACTAAATACAAGATACCTTCCGCTCAATTGGTAAATTAATGATGGTTTTCCATATCAATTAGGTTCGACTCCTCTCAGGTACATAATTTTTTTTTCTAAAAAAAAAACCATTACATAGAAAATATAAAAAAAAATTCTCAAAAAAAAACCATTACATAGAAAATATTTATTGTACATCAATAATTTCATTTATTTTGTGTGCACAAAGCACCTGCAGCTTAATTAGTAAAATGAATTTTTCATATATATCAACCAGGTTCTACCCCTGGCAGGTGCATAATTTTTTCTCCTTTTCACATGGAAAATATTTATGGTACATCAATATTTTCACTTACTTTGTGTACATGAAACACCCGTAGCTCATGGTAAAATGATGTTTCCACATCATCCAGGTTCGTATCTTGGCAGGTACATTTTTTTCCTTAAAAATATTACATAGAAAATATTTATGGTATAAGAATAATTTCACCTATCTTGTAATTTCACTTATCTTATGTACACAGCGCACATGTTGCTCAATTGCTATACTAATGTTTCCATGTCAGTAAGTTCCACTTTTTGGCAAGTGCATAAAATGCCCCCCACCCCCCACCCCCCTAAAACGTTACATAGAAAAAATTAATAGTATATGAATAATTTCACCTATGGTACAAAGAAGTTTTCATATCATTATTTTTATAAAAATTCCCTAAGAATCCAAAATATGAGACCAACAAAAGGGACATGTGAGGTGTCCCCCATTTTGGTCCTATATTGTGGATCCCTGTAGCAAAAGCTTTTATTTTTAGGGGTTTTTGCTTTTAGACCCATTTGTTTACTCCCATTTATTTTTAAACCCAAGTATTATTATTTGTATCTTTAAGCCCAATTCACCTTTTGTATTTACCTTTAAACCCAATCTTCAAAATACTATATTTTCACCACTTGTTTTTATATTTTGGAGATTGGGTTTAAAGATAAATACAAAAGGTGAATTGGGCTTAAAGATAGAAATAATAGTACTTGGGTTTAAAGATAAATGGGAGTAAACAAATGGGTCTAAAAGCAAAATGGTGTAGTTTTTACACCAAATTGGTGTAGTTTTTACACCAAATTACTATTCCATCTCCAACCCATTACACCAAATGTTACACCAAATTGGAATATTCCTTTTATTATTCTTATCTTTTAACATTTTTTGAAATTAAAAATATTTAACAAATTATATAATTATATAATTATATAATACATATAATTAATTATAATAATATATTTTAT